GGATTCTTCGACACATTTCAGGAGTGGGATGGAGAATCCCTGACGGTACAGTTTGTGTTCGATTACCACGTACGAGCATGCTCGTCGTTTGGTTGTGACTGCCTCTCTTTGGTCCAGAGGAAGCTCCCCTTTTGTCAGAAAGTTAAACTGGGGTCATCCAGCATGAGCTGTCCCCGATGGCATTCACTTCAGGCGGCATCGTGGAACTTTCAATGCTCGAGCGAGATAGGAATTCTTGTATAACTGATTTGTTCCCGCCTTTCTTCTTCGTGCTCGCGATCTTTGAAAGTATGTCAGCCCGCGTGGCACGTGTGTGATTTCTGCCCAATCAAACTTTTTCATACGTTTTCTAACCAAGTTTAAATATTCAATGGGGCTGTTGTTCTTAGCCTGGTATCCCCCTTGAACTTGAGATGCGACAAGTTGAGAATCAGTGAAAATGTGTATCTCTCAAGCACCAAGATCAACAGCCAGTTCAATCCTACAAATAAGGCCTCGTATTCAGCCTGATTGTTCGAGGTCGGAAAGGAAAGAGTGAGAGATTGTTCGATCACGACGCCTTCCTCATTTTCGAGGAGGATCTCTGCTCCACTCCCTGTCGAGCTGGAAACTTCGTCCACAAAGATGGTCCACTTGTGCTCCTTCCCTGCAGGGGTTGTGAGCGATCATCTTCGCAACGAAGTCGGCCAGAGCTTGGGGCTTGAGGGCCTTCCTGCTTTCCTACTGGATTTCGAACTCCGAGAGCTTCAAGGACCATTTTAGCATTTGACCTGCCATGTCTGGTCGACCTAGGAGTAGTCTCACAGGTTGGTCTATCGGTACGGTGATCGCGTGAGCCAAGAAGTAGTGTCGAAGTCTTCTCGCCACATTGACAAGGGCCAATGCCACCTTCTCGATTTGTTAGTACCTGACATCGGGTCCCTGAAGCGCTTTGATCGTGAAATACACTGGCTTTCAATGGTCGTGATAGTACTGGCGGTTACGAGAGGCTTTGCTTGAGGTGGAGGAGGGCCTGCTCGCATTCTTTGGTCCATTCGAAAGCTGCCTCTTTACGCAGAAGTTTGAAAATGGAAGGCGTGTTAAGCGGACTTCGCCACAAAACAGGAGAGTTAGGTGAGCATGTCGTTCAGGACTTGTATGGAATTTTTTTGAATTAGATGTAAGGAGATCGCAGAACGCCCGACATTTATCGGGGTTGGCTTTAGTTCCCCGTTCTGTTAGATAGAAACCGAGGAGCTTGCTCGCCTTAACCCCGAAAGTGCATTTCTCGGGGTTGAACCTCATTCTACACTGTCTCGCTTGGGCAAAGACCTTTCTGAGGTGGGCAGCATGGTTGGTGTCCGCTCGAGATTTGACGATCATGTCGTCCATGTATACCTCGGGCATATCTCTGATCTCGTTGCAGAAGACTTTATTCATCACCCGCTGGTATGTCGCCCTTGCATTTTTCAGACCGAAAGGCATTACATTATAGTAATAATTGCCCGAGTTGGTCATGAAAGAGGTGTAGTACTTGTCGCTCATCGCCATTGGAATTTGGTTGTAGCCTGAGTAAGCGTCCATAAAAGATAGAATTTTATAGTCGGTCGAGTTATCGACCAGCACTTCAATATTATGCAAGGGGAATGCACCGTTTGCGGGGGGAGGGCGCGTCGACCAGTTCGTCCAGTGTCCTCTTTGTGGAGTTTATAGTTATGTCGCTGAACCCCCCGCCATTTATGACCATGGCAGGGGGGAATATTTCCCACCTACTGTGTATGGACAGAGGTTCTTCGATGTCGTCGGGGACATAGAAGTCCTCCAGTCTCGTAACAGAGAATGTTGTCTGGATGGGGACCGTCTCCTCTAATGGTCGGGCGTCATCCTCAGTCTCCTTTGTGTCGCGGGCATCTCGACGCGGGGCATCGCCGCGTCGATATTTCCTGAGTTTTCCCCCTTTAATGAGGGTATCTATAGCATCTTTGAGATGGACACAATCTTCAGTCAAGTGCCTATGACTTCGATGATATTGATAATATTCGCTCCAATCAGCTCTGAACTTAGCAGAAGCAAAGTGAGGACGTCTGACGACGCCGTCCTTGAAACCAGTATTAGCACACTCCGCCAAGATGCGCTCGCAGGAAGCTGTCAACGGAGTGTACTCAGTAAATTGCCCCGCGAACCCTCTTTACTCGCGAGGATCCCGTGGTTTTTCATCCCTCCTCTTCTCGCCCGTTCATCGAGAAGGGCCCGAATCTTGTTGTCGCAGATTGCTGGTTGATCCACTATTCCTTAGATCCCGGGCTCAATTTGCCGCTTTCCTCTCCTCATAGGCCATATAGGCCATAGCCTTTTCGAGGAGAGCATCGAATGTCTACGGTGGTTCGATGCCAACGACTTTTCTGAACTTTGTGCACGGGAGGAGTCCCCTCTCAAACAGGTATCTCTTTATATGATCGGTGCAAGAGACCTGAATGGCCTCGCGGTTGAACCGGTCAATAAACACCCTGAGGTTCTCATCGCTTCTCTGAACGATAGCCTCGAGGGCTGCCTCAGTCTTCGGGTTTCGACGTGAGGCAGTGAATGAGCTGATGAACTGCTTTTTCAAGTTTTTACAGGAGATAATTGACCCCGGGCGAGGCTCTTATACCATTCCATCGCAGTCTTTCTTTCGGAACAACTGAAATTTGATCGGTCCCCCAACGTTATGATAGTGCAGCATTGCCTCGAACCCGTCGATATGGTCGACTAAATCGGCAATGTCGTCGTACTCCTTCAGATAGGGGGGGGGGGGGGGGGGGGGGGTTCTCCATACCCAGGGGAATGGGTGCCTCTATAACAGCCTGGGATAGGAGACCGCGGGAGTCATCTTCGTCGCTTCTGTCTAGAGATCGAGAAGGCGACCTGTTGTAATGGCGGTCGTGATGGCGGCCTTGGTCGCGGGGAGGATCCCTCAGTCGGTGTCGTAGTTCATCATTCCCCGTGTTTCTGTTTCCAGGGGGTATTCTCTCTTGGCGTGGGGGAATGTGGTCACGCCTCCCTGTATTAACGGGCTGATCCATCTCCAACACGGGGCGTCGCCCGGTTCGTCGAGGAGAGGGACTTCGAGAGGCATCCCGCCTGCGTCTATGCGGGGGAGATTGGGGACGGTCCTCTATCTGACGGGGAGGAGGAGAATCAGGCCTCCTATGTCTTCTGGGAGCTCTCCGAGAATCTTCGAGCACCTTTAATCTCCCCCCTTGCGAAAAGATCAAGTAATTTGTTTGATTTATTGCTGCGAGCAATGCCCTGGTCGTGGCATCAGCGTCCGCAGGAACTGGGATCTCCTGGAACGCGGGTAGTTGGTAGCTCTAAGGAGGACAACGATCATCCTTGAGTCGTCTGGACAGTGATGACGATGAGGCAGTATGTCCGTCTTTATACTCTGAGGGGCCGGGCATGTCATCGACATGGCAAATGTTGTTGTCGGTGTTATTATTGTTATCAGTGTTGTGGTCGGCGACGTTATTGTTGACGTCGGCAGTATGGACATTCAGGTTGTTTTATGCCGTGAGATCAACTATGACAGTCAAAAAGGAGTTGGATTAGCTTTTGTCTTGGATGAATGAAAGACGAGGAAGCTGTGTTTTCCACAAACGGCGCCACTGATCGTACCTGACCAGAATGGACCGTCACCGCTTACGTCGAGCAGAACTTGAGAGTGAGGTGGAGATATCTGCAAGACACTCTGATGTCAAAGTGAGACTCAGAATGAGCGAGCAAGCAAGAGAGTAAGAGATGTTCAATACCTGACCCTCTCGAAAGAGAGGGTATTTATAGTCGTCAACTTTGAGCCAAGGTCTCCTTATTGGGCTGGTCTAGCATACCCGAAATGGAGACTGCTAGGCCCTACGTGAGTAGTGGGAACCCGCACGTGGTCCCCCACCTGGATGACTTCCTCCGTAAGATCAAGAGGATATGGATGTGGTCTTTCTGGAAACACGAAGAGTCTGTGATATTCGGAGACGTTGAGAGTCAGTCTTACGAGAAGATGCTCGTGAGATACTTCTGCTCATCGTGGATGGCCTCCGCCAGACGCAAGATCGTATGAGGGAATCAGTCTTGGTCGAAGAGAGGATCGGAGGGTGACCTCGAGGTCCTCCTGACCGACGATGATCTTCCTAGAACCGACTCAATTTATCCTTGTGCGGTGAGATTGCCTCCTTACGGAGAGTGGGAGTTGCTGCCCGACAAAATCAAAGGCAAAACTAGTCAATATACCTTAACCGACATAATTGAGTTGGGTCCTCATGGAATTGGACCAAAGACAAGCCCAGGAACAATTACCATGGTTTTAACAAACTTGTTAGTTGGCAATAAGATTGGTTTCACGTATTTAAGTTTAACATTAACTTGTTTATGAATATCAATACCTTGAATTGGGAAATAATGAGTACAACTCAGTTACAGCACAAGAACAAAGTAATCTTCACTATATTCTAAAAATATCTGTTTGCAATAAATAAATAAATATCCAATAGCTCATAACACCTCTAATTCTTCCATAACAAACTCAGTTCTCAACTTCCTACATACGCAACATAAATTTACTAACACCGCAGGAAAAGGAACTTATAAACAAATGAAGCTATTGGTTCTTTTGCTTAATAAAAACCATTCAGCTTTCTTGGAAAGAGGGTTGGAGGTAGTAGTAAAATGAGAAAAAATAATCCTGTTTTGGAAGAATACATAAAACCTCCTACAGGAGTTTCTTTTCTTTTCTACTGGATAATAAATAACATTAACAGAGAGAAAGAGTTCTTTATCTCACTCTCTTAAGCTTAAATGTAAAATATAAAATAATGAATGACAAAAATTAAAGGGAATAAAAAATACGATTATCCTCCGGGAACTTCGCAGCCGCCATCTTTCGATGCTTCCGGGGCTCAAATTCACCAAAAGAATGTGTACCTGACTGAAGAATTTAAATTAAATATCTATCACAGCAAAGATGTAAAGATGTAGCAAAAGGGTCAATATGACTAGACTACAAGTTGATCCAGCTGCATTTGCTCCAGCCAAGCTCCTAAAACTGAATGATCGATAGACTCTCCTTGAGGATTGGGTTTCAGTTCAGCAGATGCAATAGGGCCAGAAACTGCAAGTTTCTCTTTTATCTCGGGTGGAGATTCCTTGACAAGAGATTGGACCCAAGATAGATCAGGCTCTTCTCCGTTGTTTCCATGCTCGAATGGTGTGGATCTTTGAGATCGACCAAAGTCGTTTCCATTTACTGACCAATCTGCTTTTCCATTAGGGGATCCCCACTTAGACCAGGAGTTAACTGGAGATCCGACAGCCGAGACGGGATTGTTAGCACCAAGTTCTCTTGAACTGAGGCTCCGCATCTGTTGCTGCTGTTTCTCACGCTGAGCAAATGCGGACAATCGAGAATTCATTGGAGAGAGGGGTTCCATGCTTCTTGGTGACATCCTTCCAGGAGAAGAGACACCATATGAAGCCTGGTGGAATAGAGGATGCTCAACATTCTTAGGTGACATGACATTTGTATTTATGGGTGATAGTGAACTTTGGAGCTGTTGAAACTGGTTGAAGACAGCGGATTTGTGTGTTGGGGAAAATACAGAAGCTGCTGCTGGGTCAGAATACCGAGGAGATGAAGAAACTTCAGCAGAAAATAGATCCTCAAGATTTGATGGAGTTAGTGTTTTAGACCGACCAGATCGACTCACTGATATAGCACCAAGACGAGGCTGTGAGAAGCAGTTAATGTCATTTAGTATGTGCTGCTGACCATCGAAGTCTTGCATCATATTGTTGAAGTCTTCAAGTGGCATATCTCGGGCACAAAGAGAAGATCTCAAACGACTAGTTTGAATATTGCTTCCAGGTAAGTGAAGTGCAGGCACATTTGGCTGTGGCCAAGGATTATTTGAGTGAGAGATGCCATTTCCAGATGGAGATATTGGCTGTGCAAAGGGAGATGGAGACATAGGAGACATTGATGATGGTGAACCAGGAAAAAGGCTCATAGCAGCAGCCATGTCCATGACATTAGGGGCAGATGCAGCTGACCGGGGTGAAGGCACAGCAGATCCAGTGGACACATACAAAGGACGCAGCTCTTCAGGTAAGTGAGCGAAAAAGCACACCCTTCGGTTACAACTAGTACCATCTTTGCAGAGCCTTGTCCGATACTGAGCAGGGTGTAGCCAGCACTCGAATACTCCGTGAGCATATTCACACATATCCCCGCGTCTGCAAGCCCCTTTTCTAAAATCAGGGCATGGCACACAGCTGTAATGAAACTTTCTGGGGTCTCTCCTTCTAGCATTCTCTCCAGGATGAACAAAAGGACACTCAGTCCAATCATGAGAATATGCACGGGAACAAGGGCGAACCTTGAAAGAAAACATGCGAAATTCATCCGTGGCATATATGCTGTTTTTTATATCAGGAAGTGATGGATCGATTGGATATTCCTTTTTTTCTGAGGCCGAGTTAACAGCTGCATCAGAAAACTTTGTAGCCACGGGAGAGGATGGAGATCCATTTTCAGTTGACGATAAAGGGGCAGCTGAACGAGGACTTGATGAATTAACAGACAGTGGAAGAGAACAACCATCAACAGAGCTGTCAGAATCACTATCAGCGAGTAGTTCTTCAAGAATTGTTTTCACACCTTCAGGCTTAGGTGGAACAACAATAACATCAACTGGACGGTTCCCATTAGCATCCATGCAGTTGATATTCGCACCAGCGGATAAAAGCAGTTTAACAGCTTCAACTGCATTAACCGAACCACCTGAAGCAGCACAGTGAAGAGCAGTGCTTTTATCATTACCGCAAGCAAAATTTACATCAGCCTCTGGACATGAGAGTACAAGCTTAAGAATATCAATGCTTCCATAGGATGCAGCCACCATTAAAGGGGTTCTGTGCTCAAGAACAATTTGTTTAGATCCCTTTTGACGGACATACCAGAAGCCAACTTCATTTATTAGAGAGACATTGCTAGCTATAGCTACCTTAAATTCTTCAAAATCATTGTTAGAAGCAAATTCAAGCAAGCTGGAAAAAGAATCATCGGTGTGAACAGTTAGATTTTTCATGTCTTTGATGTTATTTGAACCTTCTTCCACAGATGAAGATGAAGAAGTTGAACGAGATTTTGATTTGTCAGGACCACTGCACATCCTTCAATTACCTGAACAAAAATAATCATAAAATTTGATAAGTAACCAGAAAAACAAAATTAACAAACAAAAATTTAGTTAAATCCACCAAAAGAAGAAAAGAAAACAAAAACAAAACGATGAACCTACATATAAAACAATTTAGTTAAATTAATTAATTGAGTTCCTGAAAATCAAATTAGGGGTTTAAATAGAAATTTTAATTACTACAAGTTCCAAAACAAACCAAACACATAAAACAATTTAACCGTCAACAAAGTTATCAGGGCCAAACAAAATATAAATCAAAACACCTTCACACATCAATAACACAATAATCAATTACAATTGGAACTACAATTAACGGTTAAGGTCTATGAAGCACATACACCACACATGACCCTGACACTGCCACAACAGCACCCGTAATAATTAGAAAAAATAATTAAACTTAACATAATCACAAGTGTTGATGGATGTGTCAGACACGGACATGCTTTTTTAAGAGGTGTCGGTGCTACATAGGTTAAGATACATATTAAAGGAAATTATTATAATTATTATATAACATAACAAGACAAGCATACCCTTTAATAGATGAGATGAAAAAACAAAGCTAGAGTAGATATCTGAAAATAGCAGTAAACTTAACAAGAACGTCATAAGTTCAAATAACAATATGACACTGAAACAAACTAACTAAAATAAAACAAAAACATTAACAAGACAAACAAACCCACATGTTAATGCATGTTTTTCACTAGTCAAAAATATCAATTAACAATATTACTCATACCTCACGAATATGTAAACTTAACCATCATTTCCCAAACAAAATTCAAAACCCAAATGTAGAACACAGTCACACACGAGTCACAACCAATAGCGTAAATAGAAGTTTACTTTTGCATAAATTAGCGTAAAATAGAACAAAATATAAAGAGTTAGCCTAATATTCCAACAAAATCGCATAGACATACAAGACACATGATTCTTTACGCAAGGATATAGATCTGAACAAAATCCGGAATCATATCTAAAAAGAATAATTAAAGCTAAATCATCGCCAACCAAAATATTTAAAAAAATTAAAGAAAAAGAAAACAGATATGCATGATTCTTATTCCCATTTTAACGAAGTAAAAATCGCTTATCTTATATACATCAAGAATCTACACTATCAGAAAAATCAGTGAATTAAACTAAAACATTAAAAATATCATTTAATTAAAAATTAAAAAATTAAAAATTAAAAAAAAACCACAAATTCACTTCAAAATCTCTCAAAAAAACACTGATCAATTTTTTTGAAACAGAAAATAGTATCATTCAAATTTTTTAAAAATAAAATCCTTCTATTTCTATATCTATCTCTTACTACTATTAATATTACTAAGGTTATTTTTATTATTTGACTATTATATTATTATTATTATTATTATTATAATTATCATTGAGATGCACAAAATAAAATTTTCAACAAATTTATTTAGCAGAATCAATCACACAATCGGTACAGTACGAATATTTATAAACATAAATTTATATAGAGAATTGCAAAAAAATAAAATAAAATAAACACGATAAACTAAAATTAGAGAAAAATTAAATAAAAAACCTAAAATTAATAAAATAAACATCTTATAATTTAGCATGAATCACGATAAATTGCAAAAATAATAAACACGATAAACTAAAATTAGAGAAAAAAATTATAAAAAAACACTAAAATTAATAATATTAATATCTTAAAGTTTAGCATGCATCACGACAAACTGCATAAAGTGTTACAGTGATTTATACAATCGGTGGGAAAAATTTTGTAGTAAAAGTTATCAGATCGAGTAAAAGGATCGATCGATTGAATTGCAGAGTGATAACTTACCGATTGGGAGTGGTTATGATGAGATCGGCGATGATAGAGATGATCGGAAAAGGAAAACGTAATCGGAAATCTGATCGGAAAATGGAGAATGCCGGAGAGTGAATCGGAAGAAGGAAACGAGATCTGGTAGAGAGGGAGAGAGATTCAGAGGTTTTGAATCTCCATTGATAGAAACGAGAGAGAGAAGTAACGTTTTTGAAATTGAAATGAAATTGAAATGAAACGAAGATGAATTTAGGGTGAATTTAAAAAAGTTTTGGAGGAGAGTGAAATGTTACTGAAATGCACGCCAAATGAAGTCCAAATGAAGTCAGGGAGTGGGGCCACGGGGAACCGGGAGAGCAGGTGAGAGACAGAATTGGAGTGGGTAGGGTTTGAAGAAGGGTGCGACGGGTTCAACCGGTTGACTGTTATGGATTTTATTGAGATTATTAAGTGGATTGAAATTTTGATTTGGAATCCGCCAAAGGGTTAAAGACAGTGGTCACTTGTGCAGTCAAATCGAGTGTAAAGGGAGATGTATCACAGCAAAAAAAGGTATTTTTCTCTTTGTGAATTGTGACTCATTTTTTATATATTTTCTTTTATTATTTAAAATTTATATGAATTTTATTAAATTTAGATTTAAATGAAAAATACATTATTTATAATGATTTGTTTGAATTTGTTTTTTTAGAATTGAAAGGGTTTATGGTTAAAAGAAAATTACAATAATCTTTAATGTATGTGTAGTAGAAACTACAATAATCTTTATCTTTTTAAAGAATTAAAATAAGATAAAGGTTAGTATGATGAAGTTAATTTTTTAGTCTTGAATTCTTAAAATGCATATTATATTGAGTTAACAAGAGGTAATGTTTGTTATGTTCAAAGATTTTGATGAGATAACGTTTGTGTTTGCTTGTGTGCAAAAGATTTTAAAAGAGATAAATTATTTGTTTAAAGACTTTGATAAAGGCATTGAGTAAAGTCTTCGAAGAAGATATTTCTCCTCCCCTTTAATTTTCTGTTTGCTATTATTGTACCATAATTTTTGCCCTTAAGATCCTTTTATCATACCATATTGATTCAATCACAACAAGGTCACATTAGAGCTTTTGGTTCTCCTCCCAATCTTTAGTTTTGCTCTTTGAGGAATCACCAAGCACCTTGACTTGTTTTTCTTCTGTAGTCATGTATGTTTTGTTTTGACTTTCCTTTTAATTAATAAAATGCAATGTTGGTTTGTCTTACTTGTTAATAATGTAGGTAAGGGCAATGTGGCTTAGAAAGTTGATCCATGAGTTCATGAGTTTATTTCTATGCCCTAGTCAATAAAGATTGAGAAGTTCAAACCTCACCATTGAAGTTATTTTGGAAGAAATGGCATGGCAAGATTTATCTTGGTTCACCATATTTCAAAGTTATCAAGATTGATTCAAAGGTACAAGGGGTTGATTGAAGAAGTTGTCATATTTGGACAAGGCTTTGTTTCCATTGGTCACAAGTGCATATTTCTCTCAATTCTCAAGATATGGAAGTGGTTTTGGTGGCTATGAGTTTTCATTATCATCCTCAACAACTTCTATTTACAAAGCAAAAGTGTTGGTACAAGAAGGTTGTTCAAAATTGTCAAAGTTCCTCAAAATATTTTCTTGATTTATGAGCTAGGGTTTTGAACTTCAAAGAAGTATATCTTGTTCATCTTTTGATATTTTTGAGTGATTCCAAAGACATTCTTCTCTTCAAAGGGTTATTAACAAATCACTTCAAAAGTTTCAAGGATTTTTCATGTGGAAGAAGCTTGATGATGAAGAAAGATTACAAGTCCTCCAGATGAACCCCCAATTTTCCATGTGTGACTTCAAATGATCATAACTTGGTCAATTTTCATCACCTTGAGCCTACTCTTTTTCCACAGTGATCTGGAGGATGTAAACTTTATTCCTTATTTTATGTTCAAAGTGATAAAATGGATGGAAGATGTCCTAAGGATATAAAAGATTATAGGTCATTTCATAATTTTTTGTCAACTTCAACAATTCACAACTCTCTCAATTTTTTGAGATTTTGAATGATTCAAGCTTCAAAATATCATTCAAGAAGCCTATTTCATACCATCTTTTTTGGTCAAGAGCAAATTCTAAGAGGAATATCATGTTTGGATGCAAAACATTATAGGTCACTTTTGAAGAAAAACTTGAAATATTTCTAAGTATGGAAAGTCAATTTCTTTTTTCCAACTTTGACTCATTGCAACTTTCAGCTCAAACATCCATTTGATTCCATTCTTTTTCCATTGCAAAACTTGTAACCTCATTTTTCTAAAGCATCAAAAATCAGGCCCTAAGACCCCTTGAGCTGAGAATGCCATTGATTTGAACTTTGTAACTTGAAACTGAAGTTTCTTCAAAAGTCAGAATTTGAAATCCTTGATTTAGCTTCTAAACACATTTTTTCTGCGTGTTTTTGCTTCTAAACATGTTTAGTGAACTTCCAAAAGTGATTAGCATAGAAAAACGCGCATTTTGGATGAGTTTTGATCAAAATAAAAGTCACACTTTTCTTGTTTACAACTTCACACAATTTCCCTCCAAACTTCATCATTTCACATGCTTGAACATTCCATTTGATTCCCTATAAATAGAGGGTCATCCCTCATTCATTTCCTCAATCTTGAACAGCCAGAATTACCCTGTCAAACTTTCTCCATAACTCATTTTCCATAACTTCGAAATCAGTGTTCAAGCCTTTTTTCAATCTAATTTTTCTATCAATTCACCTTCCTTGATCTTCCCTGAAGCTAACCATACAATTACCTTCAAGAATCGTGACCTATATTGATCCATAGAAGTCCAGTTTCAGAGCTCTGCAACTCAACTTCAATAGGTAGATTTCTCCATCAATTCCTCAAAACTTTGATATCACTGTGAAGCTCTCATTGCCCTGGTTCTAGTTGCAACACTTGCTTTTATCTGGAAACACATTTTGACCATGAAATTTCAAATCCCTTTTCAAAACTTTTCTTCCAAATTGCTTGAGCTACCGTTTATATAAATTTGTCGCGAAGGTGTGGTTGTCTTTGTCTTGAAGAGACGAAGCGAATGGCATAGGTCTCGTGCTCTAATTTTACAGATTGAGCAACCTGGTTTTGGGA